TGGGATATCGACACTGCCGCCATCTCCCGGCATTCCCCCTACGGGTCTTGTTTTATCATTATATACACTCACGTTAATTTCAATCAATTGATAGAAAACAATGTTATAAACAGTGCAAATATAAACTAATAATTCGTCTATCCACGTTTAATGTGTTTTCAGATATCATTTCCCCCTTTTTAGCTGCAGAAAATGACAACCCTATTAGCCACGCAACAGCCACGCAAGTACCGTGGCTCCTGGATCACCAGGGTTGCAATGACGAAATTCCTTGAAATTTCCGTATTACGGCAACGCAATAAAAATTCCCAATAAGTGTTCCCGGAATTTCCGCGAAAATATTACTGAAACCTACAGACATCATTCCTGAATTCAAGACATTCCTTTGATTTTCAGGATCATGTCACTAGAAATTTTTTACAAAATGACTTAATTTTAACATTGCTTGCTCATTGCATTTCAGAAATGCAGCTGCCTAAAAAAGACACATCGATTCCTAGGAACAACGTTTTTTTTTCTCGGTAAATACAGACAATAGAGAAATGTCAGAGTACAGTGAATAAACTTCACTCGTCAAAAACTCCATAATGGCAGAGTGAAATTCCCTGATTTTTTTTCACTCTCGATTAATTTTCTAAAGATGCAAATTGATACTTGAGTATCAATTGATTCATCCACATCGGTCCATTCCATCGAGAGATATTGTCGATTGGAGACAATTTTTTATGGTCACTGAAGAATGCAAACCATTCATTTAAATCTCGCAATAATCTGCGAAAAGTCTCATTCGTTAATCTATTATTATTGATTTAATCCCATTATGTGTATGAGATTTGTTGAGATATAATCTCTCACAAATATTGAATATATTTCTCATCAAAATAATTTGAAATTCATTCATTACCTTTGTATCACTGACAAAATATGTAATAAATGTGAATAAGATGAATTGCTCGTATTTTTTTTTTATTAAAGATCTAGTTGTATAGAAATTCAAATAAATGATCCTCTTTCGCTCAAGACTTCATAATTCCTTCTCTCCCTCTCCTTTATGATCAACTAATTTACAAATTAAGACAATAAGAAGTTGTATGAACGAAAATGGGATAATCAAGCGGATGAGTGAATGCAAAGGAGGTTTCATGTTGGATTTAAGATTGGGAACGCTTCCCTGTTATCGACTGTTTCCATGGTAATAGATGAAAATTTCTTTACCCACAGAGACGGCCTCTCGATTAGTTCATGCGCGCCACCGCTATGAAACTCTGATCGAACAGTTCCCATAAGTCTGAGCAATCTCCCCTATTATCTCTGCCATAAGCCTGAGCAATCTACCCTATTATCTCTGTTAAAACTCACCTGCTAATTCACTCATATTAATCACTATCAATTTTTATGTCTCTTTATTTAGAAATAATTTCAATTTTTCGAAGGCAATTAATTAATCAAAGGGAATAATTATTTAATTTATTCATATACACAATTGACATACAGTCAAGATGGCTGTCATCATCTTGTTATTAAATAAAAAGAGAGACAGTAAACAATTGAAAAAAGAATAAACAACTTCATATATTACTTATTCTAAGGATATGAAAAATTCTCATGAACACATCCTCGCGGTTTTCTCTACAACAAAAAACGTCGCGTATACATATACATATATATATATATATATATAATCTATGTATATATATGATTTATATTATGTATTTGAAAAGAATAGATACCTCGCGAAAAACGGTGACAAAAAACGTTACATGCTTTTTTTAAAAAGGGACCAAAGCTATTACTCCATCCTAAGGTTATTAGTTATAATATGATTTTTATCAAATGTTATTGGTTTGAAGAAAGATTATATTTTTAAAAATCAAGAAGATGAAATATAGTGAACCGAGAGTAAATGGATCTCAATTTGATAGCTTTAATTCAAACTTTTATATTAGTACATGATTTCGTGATAAAAGTAAACTGGAGTTGGATCAATATAAGAGACTGATTTCATACCTGAAATGCGAATATAAGCCTCTCCCTCCAGAGGATATAGCCTATATGCATAATTTAGATCTTTTCTCTTTATTCCTTTCATGAATTCATCATCAAATCCATAGTGTTGTAATTACTGGCAGTTTCTTGAGAAGGAAAAGTTCGGTTTAGAAAAATTACGTTGAAGAAAATTATCAAAAGGAGTGAAACAACACATTTTGTTGCATCAAATGCTTCATAAAATTTCTTCATGCAGAACAGCAATGAGATATGGGAAGTGGAAAGAAAATCACGTATTTTTTTTCTTCAAAAATTATAAAATTTACAAATTATATCGAATAATGATGTTATAATGCTACGTATTCCGGAGTTTTTGTAGAAGCTTATAATATATTGTCATTCTCATTCGCTCAACACTTTATAGTTTTCAATTATTCTTCGAAAGAAAAAACACGTGTCCTTTCATGAAGTGGTCACAGCGTCCAACGAAAAATGTCTTTTGGTCACCGCTGCGCAGCCATAACGCCTTGTCTACAAACTGAATAACAAAAAAATTTGTTTGTTACTCGGTCGAAAACAAATTTTCTGGCGAGTGTATTTGCAATCCTCGCCGGCTTCGCCTCGGTCTGCAAACTCACACTCGCCAGAAAATTTCTTTACAGCCTTGTGACAAAGTGTACTATCTGGTGAGCCTAATAGAATCTGAACTTTTTTGCCCATTTTCACAGATGAGCGTACGGCATTACTCTCAGTGAGTCCTCAGGTGTTAAAGTCGGGCTTGAAATGAGTAGCTCCTTTGCTCCCTACAGGAACCTTTTAATTTGTTTGAATTTCTCAATTTTTTGTTTAACATTCTGGAAATACTTCTTGAATGTCCTCCATGTACAAGTAATGAAATGCGAAAAAAATACGAAAATATAAAAACTCCGTATTCAGAGGACGAATATAGAGTTTTCATATTTTCGTGGTTACATTGTCGCCATACAAACTTCCACGTTTTTATACTATTTGATAATACAAATAAAATGGAAAAAAAAATCAATTTTTAAAAATGATTCCCTACCTACAGCACTAATTCTCTCCCCCAGGGGATATAGTTCGCATGCACGATTTACGTTTATTTTCCTTCAATCTGTTTTGTCTCAAGTTTCATAGCGCCTGAAAAGACATGTCCCAAATGCATGCCCCTAACATACGTTTATATGCCATAGAATCATTCAAATATTGCCTGTCTGCCCGGATACCCCAGATTTTTCTCTAGCCATTCGATTCAAAATAGTTTTGCAAATGACCTCCTATTTTTATTTCTATATTTAGACTTCTAATAAGTGAATTATCAATTTAACTATAAATCCCATAAGAGTCCGTGTGTCAAGAAAAAAAATTGTTTGTTCATTTCTGCCGAATCTATTGCGATTAAATTTTTTTTAACATCAAAAAAGTTTATTTCATATGTTCTGTCATCAGCCAAAAAATGACAAAATTTTCCTTGAACATGGAAAAAATCACATTTACGACATTTTACCGGCAATGGCTAAATATCTTTAAGGAGTTTAACTCGTCACCAGACTTGATTTTATTGCTAACTGTATTGCTCCCAGTGCGGCTTAAGGTCTTGAAAGGGGAAGTACAGAAGCAAACAGCATTGAAATTCTTCTTGGGGAGAGCACAGTTACGTCCTTAATACTTTGATACTCCGAGGGGCACTGATTCTCGATCGGGATATGTTCCAACACCTATCACAGATACATTCGAGGACATGATGAAGTGTCTCAGTGCCTATATACTCTTCTTTAGCTTGAAAGTGTAATACGATGTGTTATGAGTATAGGGTCTTCCATGAGAGCGGACCCTCGAATCCACTGATGCATCAGATTAATGGTCATGCTGGGACGTTGTGCAGCATCAGAAATCGATGGAGAATTTACCTGCAATTGAATGATGAACTGAAAACATGACATCGGTGTGAAATGCGAATTAACTTAGACAGTATACAGAATGTGGAAATAATTAACAAAATCAGACGAAAATAAACAAAAATTGATTAAAAATGTTGACGCCGTGCTTATCTCATTCAATTAAATGCGCACAACCTTCTTACAGATTTTGTAGTATTTGTTAAGACTTTTGATCGAAGATTATTGAAAGAATGTTTCTTTTAACAAATTTGCATTAAACATAACCTGTTTCGAGCTGTCAGAATCTTCAAGACAAATGATTCCCGTATGCCATTATTCCGGATAACAATGTAGATATGTATTTCTGTCTCCTGCACAGGTGCAAACAAGATGATTAATTCATCATCAGCTATTATGTTGATCAATTCAATTCTTCTTTTTCTATGAAAATGCAATAATGTTATAAAAACAGAGATTATAGCAGAGATTATAGGGGAGATGAGCAGGGCAGTTCAATAGCAGGGGGGGCCTCCGTTCATACTTGCACGACCAGAGATAATAGGGGAGATTGCTCAGGCTTATGGGAACTGTTCGATCAGAGTTTCATAGCGGTGGCGCGCATGAACTAATCGAGAGGCCGTCTCTGTGGGTAAAGAAATTTTCATCTATTACCATGGAAACAGTCGATAACAGGGAAGCGTTCCCAATCTTAAATCCAACATGAAACCTCCTTTGCATTCACTCATCCGCTTGATTATCCCATTTTCGTTCATACAACTTCTTATTGTCTTAATTTGTAAATTAGTTGATCATAAAGGAGAGGGAGAGAAGGAATTATGAAGTCTTGAGCGAAAGAGGATCATTTATTTGAATTTCTATACAACTAGATCTTTAATAA